AAGACGGATTGAGATCTATTACCATCTGTGGGAAGAGTTGCTGGGGAAATTGGGAAGGGGCCCTTTAAAGACGTATGAAAGATGTGCGAAACCGATCCGGCCACAACGACCCGACTGTGAAGCAGAACAAACGCCCGACGGTGAAGCAGCACAACGGAGGAGAGGCGAAGAGAGGCGACGACGATCCGACTGTGAAGCAGAACAACGACCCGACTGTGAAGCAGGACAACGGAGGAGAGGCGAAGAGAGGCGACGACGATCTGACTGTGACACACGCACACACACGCACACGCACCCGCACACACACACACACACGCACACACGCACACACGCATACACAACCAAAAAACACACACACACACACACACAAAAACACACACACGCAAACACATACACGCACGCACGCACGCACGCACAAACGCACGCACACACACACACACACACGCACACACACACAACACACACATACACACACACACGCACACCTGTCAATGCCCCGCCAGGGCCAAAAGACAGGCTCAGCCCAAATGTAAGGTCACATACGCGTCCACTCGCTGATTGGGAGATGTTGAATGATGATTCCCCCCTGGGGGCTCCCCTTGACTCCCGCTTTGCGGGCACAATACTAACTATCTGCCTGGAAACCTTGAGCCGCCTTGGGGGCGCTGGGACCGATGTTGGATCTGGGTGTTCCACATTTTTTATTCCCAAGGGTGGGACCAGGAGTGGCGAACAGAAACAAATACGCCAGCGGTAGAGATGGGGCACTGGAGTTGCCGCTGGGGCGGGAACGTGGAAACACCGAGGCGACAACGCCGCTCGGAACGGCCGAAGACGTTCCGAGTGGCAACACCACTCTGTTGCTGCCACTTTGAATGCATTCTGAAATAGAACTTCTTGGGAGACACACGCACATGCAACAAATCAAAGAACACGCGGGACGGGCGAGTTAAAAACAGCACGTCATCGAGGGAGAGGGGGAGACATGAAGGGGCCCAGGGACATACAAACTAATAGACATAACTCCCAGGATTCCCAATACTTTTCGACATGTTCTGTACTTTCGTCTTCCCCTCCACTTCTCATACTTTCCATGTTTGTTTGGGAATCGTTTGTTTATGTCTGTGTCTTTCCCCCTCTGGAAAACAATACTCCTACTACTGATTGGCTGCAAAAGGGGGGGCATGGATGCGGCAGGCGCCGAGGCGAGAGCGCCGAGGCGAGACCGTCCTTCGGAACGACTCGCAACGTCTACAGCGGAGCATCACACACGGAATATCACTAAAGGGCGAAACCACGGCATAAGCATGAACGTTCGACGGTCCGCGCAGATTTCTTGGATCTGCGCTGGACCCCACTCCCTGACGCGAGGAGCGCGCCAAGGGCGACGCCCGAGGCGCCGCCAGGGAGGTCCAGCGCAAATCAAAGAAATCCGCGCAGACCGTCGAAACTTCCTGTCCTGGCCCGCCTCCGCCTGCCCTGGCCCTTTCGGGCCGCCCCGTTTTTGTTTGTATTGGAGGGCTCCTCCTTAGTGCCTTTAGGGCCCCGACTTTCACTTTCATGCAATGTCTTCTCTTCGAGCCACATGCTCGAAATCCGGAGCTTGAAGAAGAGCGCGCGATGGCCAGACCCAAACAAGGCAGGCATACCGACAACCGGCAACACGTCGCCGAGGGAGAGGGCAGGCCCGAGCAGGCCGCCGAGTGGATCATCGCTGCCAGCGCCGACTGGGGCGTCCCAGAGGACTTCGATGCCCGCAGCGGCAAGGATCGAACCATCAGCTGCTGCGGAATCGGGAAGGGGGAGCTTCTGTGCACAGGAGAGGAGCAACAGCAGAAGCAGGAGGCGGTCGGGGATGAGGAGGATCAGGAGGGAGGAGGAGGAGGAGGAGGAGGAGGAAGAGGAGCAGGATGAGCAGGAGTAGGAGGAGCAGGAGGACCAGCGGAAGGCGGATGACGAGAAAAAGGGTGGCGGCGACGACGAGGAACGCATCGGCTCCGTGGCCCGCGATTGGGCGACAGCGCCATTCTGGACGACAGGAATGGGGCACCGACCCTGGAATGTGACCAACGGCTGCAAAGGGAGCTCCGTTGAAGGACCGATATCGTTCCGATCGACAAAAACATGTCGACCATCCACTTAAAAACCTGCGTGGAAAACAATCCGCAAACGAAGCTGGCGCGCACGCGCGCATTGTCAAGGAAAGGGGGAGAATACCATTCATACAGATAATTGTGGAGGGGGCATGTGGGATAGGGGAGAGCATACGGGAGAGGTTTTCTATGGCCCTCCAGACTCGATCCCTCCCCCTTCCATTCTTCCCTCGTCGTTGTCGTCGTCGTCGAGTAAAAAAAAAAGGTTCGGAACAATGACGCCAGGGAGGAGGTTTCAGCTCTGATCCCAAAAATGCGCGCCCAAAAGATGCGCGCGGAGCTCCGACAAATAAGGTTTATACTGCTTCTTCCATTTTCGATCATTGTCGTTGCCCTCCTCCAGAACTGGCCATCGCTTGGACGTCCATTCCCCTTGCTTTTTTTTCGGCTTCGTGCGTGTTTTTTCCGCAGGATGATCCAGGATGCTCCTCAATGATCCCTGCCGAGAAAATATCGGACACGTTCGAGCGATACCAGTTCAATTCAGTTCAGAAGCCTTGCGTCCGGACGGCGCGCGAGCAGGGTGAGACCGTGAGCAGCCAAACTGCTCATGAGAGGGGCGTGCTGTATTGGCATCGGCCACTCGTGTTGAACACACGGAGGGAGGAGGAGGAGGAGGAGGAGGAGGAGGAGGAGGAGGATGAGGAGGCGGAGGAGGAGGAGGGACGAGGAGGGAGGAGGGAGGAGGGAGGAGGAGGAATAACTTCGCGCCCTCGAGGGCGCCCTTGCTCAATGATCCACACCGAGAAAAAAGTGTACTCGTCCGAGCGATACCAAGAGAACAAAACGACAGGAGATGAACACATGGGCCTGGACGCCCCCCTCTCCACCCGAGGCGGCCTCTGCAGCAGCGGCAGGTTGGAATGCGCCTCGGCGCTCACCTGCGGTCGCCGAAGGGTGCGCAGGGTGGGCAGGGGGGGGGGTGCAGCTAGGGGAACAAAGAGTCATATAAACATGACAACTCGGAGGTCTGCGCGGATTTCTCGGATCGGCGCTGGGGCCCCCCGGCGGCGTCTCCGGCGCCGCCCCTGGCGCGCTCCGCGCGCCAGGGGAAGGGGGTCCAGCGCCGATCCGAGAAATCCGCGCGGACCTCCGAGTCTTTATGTTTATGTGACTCTTTGTTTCCCTAGCAGCAGGGCTGAACCTAAACGGTGTTTTTCCTTTCGTTTCGTTTTGTCTTCGTTCTCCCTCGTGTTGTCTTCGTTCCGCCTTTACGCAAAGCGAACTCGAAACGAAAAAGGCACAAGAAATCGCCAAAACACCGTTGCGGGCGCACCAGTAAGTGATGAGGATCGAGCCCTGAACTGTGTGCGCAACGAGCTGCTAGTAGGGCCAGGCGGGTGGCGCAAAGGACCTCACGAGGATCCACCACCTACGCTTAAGTCGGGCGTGTCCCCCTACAAGAAGATTTTCGACGAAATATAAGAAGTACGCAAAAAATACTCCAAAATGGTCAAACAACTACTGAAACAATAATCCCCATACTATTTTTCACTATTTTTGAATATTCCCCCTGTAAAGGGACAGGCCCGACTTAAACCTACGCCACCGCGTGGCCCAGCCTCCGAAACGAGAAAGATCGAGGCCCATTCCCCGACGGAAGCCTCCTCGAAAAGGGTGCCCTGCTGACCAGCTCTTGCAGCCCAGGGCGCGCGAGATGCGTGCTCCCGAAGACTGCGGCGCTCCCGCATGGCGCGAGCCTCGCGCCCCTTGGCCTCGATCCGGGAGCGCCGCTCTTCGGTCAAGGCCGGGGGGGGGAGGCGGAGGGGCGGACGACGCCGACGACGACGTCCGAGGGGGAGGAGGAGAAGGGACGAGGGGGGCGGACTCCAGCGCCCAGAGCTCGGACGACACCGTCCCGCTCGCTGGGTCTAGGCAGACCTCCGGGTGCAACGGGCCAAGGGAACTGTTTCCCTCTCAGACTCTGAGAAAAGATGAATTTCAAGGTCCGCACGTTTGGACACCCTTGAACCACGGCGAAAACCCGCAAAATCGAGGGCCAGGGTGAAATCGTGATCGCAATCGGGAATCCAGGGAACGTAAAACCGCATGAGCTTGTCTGTAAGCTCCTGCTGGTCGTCCCCGAAAACGAAATCGGCATCAGCAGGGTCGTCCTCTATCTGAGCGATACTGTCTAGGATGGCTTCGGCGATGGAACGGCGCAAACTGCTCGGAGAAATTTCCTCTGGCTGGGTCCGCCTGGACCCATCCCCCGACGGCCAAGAACCGTCACGTGAGCGCGTTTGCCTCGGCGGCGACGATAGGGGCGAATAACCCAGGGGCGGGCATTACACGTATTCGCCCAGGAGCCTCTTCGAAGACACAAATCATCGGTGCACCTGAATACATGTATTGCTCTCCCCTGGGCTATTCGCCCCTGTCGTCGCCTCTGATTGCCGTGCAAACAGCGCCCCTGGCCCAGCACGTCCTGGAGAAGACCGCGGAGCTCCGGCGTGCGCACGCCGATCGTGCGCGTGGGGGCCTGGCCAGCTGTGAACCAATGCCTGTGCTGTGTGGCTGATGCTCGCACTGATTCAAATCGGTCGCGCTGGCAATTGGAGACGACGCCAGCGCGACCAGGGGGGGGGCACCTCCACGATGCGGGAGCTCGCCATCGCTCGGACGTCCATTCCCTGTGTTTTTTTCGGTTTCCTGCGTGGTTTTTTCGCCAAATGATCAAGGATGCTCCTCGATGGTCCTAGTCGAAAAAAATGCACACGTCCGAGCGATGCCAAGTTAAGAGCCTTCAGGAACTGACCCCCCACCCTAAGCTGCTCTTGGAGCCTGGGCGCGCAATCGGGGACGCCCGAAAGATGGCCGAGGGTGCAAAGGAGGAGGGGGCCCTTCTTGCCGCCTCGCGGCGCTCCAAGTTTCGCGCGGGCCCTCCCCGTGTTAAACGCTCGCCAGTCGCGTATCTGGCCTAACCTTAAGTCGGGCGCGTCCCCCTACAGGGGGATGTTCGACGAAAATGAAACAATACTCAACAAATACTCCAAAATGGTCAGAAACTACTCAAAAGATCATCCCCAGACTAATTTGTTTACTATTTTTGAATATTCACACTGTAGAGGGACAGGCCCGACTTAAGCCTAACCAGAATCCGATGGTGGCGGCTGCCGCGAGATCTCCCCTGTCAGCATCCATGGCAACGTCCGAGGAGAGGCAGCAGAGCTCCCAGAGGGGCGAGGAGCCGATAGATGCCACTGGATGTCCCAGGACCTCCGCCCACCGCAAAACAACCAAGGGCTCCCAACTTTGCGCTTCGCGCTGCGCGAAGCGCGAAGTGCGAATAATTTCGCGCTCTCGCGCCGCCTCCCAGGGGAGAAGAGGAGGACGAGGAGGAACCGGAGACGAACCGCGAAGCGCGAATAACTTCGCGCCCTCGAGGGGCGCCCTTGACAACTCAAGCGCAACAGACTGCGGGCGACTGATTTTGCGCGGAAGCATGCCGGCCGAAACTCCCTGGTAGTCCTGGGGCCCGAAGGGCCAGAACCTGTCGCCAGGCTCGGCCTCTTGGCCCCGTGGAGGGCAAGCGCTTCCCGAAAGGGCCTAAAAACTTGGTGGCCTCCTCCTCTGGGAAAGCGAAGTCCGAGCGAATCAAAACCTCACGGGCCTCGGCGCCCGTTCATGGCGCCACAGCGTCTCGAACGAAGGGGTCGCGCCCACTCAGAGCAAGGGCCTAGGGGCGATCTCGCCGAGCTGGCGCAGCGGGGCGCCATCGGCCGAGACCAGCTGAACTTTGCCGCTCAGCAACGGCGTCCGCTTCCTCATTCAACTGCCGTCGCTTGTCCACCGATCGCGTCGGAGGCGAAGTCGACAGCGCGATGGCGCACTTCGGAGGCGAGAAGGCGAGATGTTCAACGAGAGGCTTGCGCGCAGCGAATGTAGTACGACAGCGCGCGCACTTGGATGCGTTGCCGAACTGGCTCTCGATGCTGCGCATGAAGGTCCAATGCTCACGTGCCACGTGTTGATTGAGACCCTTGATTTTGCTGAAGTGCGTGTTACACCATCCGCGCTGATAGGTCGGAGGGGCCTCTTGGGCAAGAGCTCGAAGGAGACGTTGGGGGTCCGTGAGGGGCTTTGGGCCACCCGCATCATGCATCACCTGGACGGCGTCAATCCCGGCCATGAGCGCTAAGGCATTCCTAGTACAGTGGGTCACATGGGCCTGAAGAGCACCTTTGCCAGCGGCCTTCCACTGGAGGGCAGAGGCGAGAACGTACTGCTCCCACATTTGGACATCCTCGCGCGCCTCGGGGGAGTCCTTGAAGGCGGGGCGGCGGCGGCGAAGCCAATCAATGTCGCCAAACACTTGGCGCGCCCGCGAGACCTAGCAATGGTGCGCACAATGCCCATGTAGCGCCAGCAGGTGATCTGGCCCGCGATGCAAAAGCCTGCCAAACAGCCGCAGCGTGTGATCCTTAAAAGCATTCAAGTGTGGACGCCCCACCATGGCCAGGATCTGGGCAGACGCGAGCGCCGCGGCGCCCACTCTCGAGCCGCGGACAACTGCGCGAAGCATTAGAACGAGGTCGTCGCGGAGCTGCGCAGCCTGGGCAAGAGAGGGAGAGAGAGCTCTGGCCGCGCGCCTGCCAGGTGCAACGGACTTGAGTGCATGCCACGTTCGCGGTGCCGTCCCGAACGATGCTTCTCAACTTGCCCCATTCTGCCGTCTTGGCGCGCCTCCGACGCGCGAGCTCTGGGCCCAGGGGTCCAGCTTCATCGAATGCAGTGCCGAGATGCGCACGCTGCCTGGCTGCGCGCAGACAGGGGTGCCCGCGCAGCCTCGAGACTAGCTGGACAGACCCAGACCAGCTGCGCAAGAGCGCGCGTTTAGCTATGTCCGACCCCTCCCCCCCGAACTGGAACAGCACGGCAATTTTGCAACTGGCAGCGCGCAGCCTGATGCCCCCGGAGCCGAAGGCGTCGACTGCGAGGCCAACGGCGCGATCCCCAGCCGCGCATCCAGCTTGCCTAAAAAACATGAACATGGCATCGTCGAAGAAGGCCAAGTCCATTGAGTGAGTGGAACGTGCTGAGGGCACATCTGCACTGATGCGCTCGCTGGCAGATCTGCTGCAGGCCCCTGGCACTCGCAGATCAACACCGGGCTCCAGCGGTGCTGCCTGAGCTTCGCGAGTGACCATGCACATCAGAAAGCTGCAGATCAGGCCCCCATGGCCGCCGGCCTGGCCCGGAGCCCGCTTGGGGAAGCGCAGTGCAGGAGCCCCCAGGCGCGACGGACCAACTGGACTGGCACGGGTCGGCGACCCGGGCACGGGGCCTCCGGGGAACCCTGGAGCCCGCACGACGGGGCCGTGCTGCTGGACGCGCTGCGCCAGCTCGCCCACGGCCTCGGGGGGCAGCCCGGGCTGGCGGAGGGTCTAGGCGACAGCCTCGTCCGACGCGCCTGTCCCTAGCATGAACTCCCTGGCTGCTCTGCAAGCTTACCAGCCTGGAGCATATCCCCATCCCTGTGCTGGGCACCTCCTCATCACGATGCCAATCTTAGGGATTCCCTTATTTTTTGAGGGCGAATCCCTGAGATTGTCATCGCCTTTTGGCGTGTCAATCTGAGGGATAGGGATAAGTTCGAGGCTGGTAGAAGTCCGCGCCCACGCGGGCGACGCTGCCGCTCTGGCGGGGCCCGGCGGGTGGAGGAAGACGGGGAGCGAGGTCCAGGCGAACGAGACCGCGAAGCCTCTTGCCAAGTTTCGAAGACCCCAGAATCGATCGGTTGCTCCGCCTGGGCGACGGACAACACTTCTCGAATGGAGGCCGATTGCAACCTCCTTTCCATTGCAGAAGCTCTTCTGCCATAAGCTGTGCTTCGAGAAAGAGAGGGCGCGGGATGGGAGTGATATCCAGGGCGGGCTTGCGAGCCGCGTTGCCTGCGAACCCACCGGGGCCTGCAACCCGCGGGCAAGCTCGTTCGAGGCTACGCGCAACCTGATCGAGCGTGCGCAGGTCTTCTGGATCGAAGGAGGCCCCGTCCAGGAAGGTATGGGGCAATATTTGGATCTCCGGTTCAAGCCACTCGAGCTCCTGGAAAGGGATGACTGTGCCAGCTTCGACACCCGCAAAGTGCCGCGCCCACACGTCAGCGGTCTGGGCCTCGAACTCAAGAAGCTTCTTTGGACCAACTCCTATCGCTCGCAGTCGACGGGAGGCCTGCAGATGATCGCGCCTGGACCACGCACTAATGATGTCATTCGCGATCTGCTGGGCATGAGCCTTCGCATCTCGTCTCAGCTGCGCGCTAACCTCGGCACCGGGAACCAGCTGGGTAACGATGTCCTGGCAACTCCGACCAGCCAGGGGAGCTGTGGCCCTTACCCCCCTGGGGGAACCCATCGCATCGACGATCTCTCGAGAGGGGTGTCGAAATCGATGGGTCCCCCAGGGGGGTAAGGACCACAGCTCCCCCAGTTGTGGCTGGCCTGCAACTTCCATCCGAGAACCTGTCGACGAACCCCAAGAGCTCAAAACGACGGAGATTTGGTGGGTATGGTCTTGACTGAGCCCCCAGGTGTCCAGAGCCCCGGGTGAACCCGGGAAACACTGCAGAGCGGAGCTTCACCTGTGGATCCACGAGAGCCCGTGGTGGTACCTACAATAACAGCGGCCAACCAATCTCGCCAAGATTTCGACCCCGAATGGAGAGGCCGAGAAGCGCATCTCCACTCGTGCAACGCAAAAGAATACCAAATGTCCCCAACAGTAGCCCACACTCGGAAGGAGAACGGGGGATTGTGGCGGCCTTCGTCTTTCGGATGGTTTTCGTATGGTTTTCCTGAGGTTTTCGCATCCTTCCTCTTCATCCTCTTCCTCCTCGTGCTCCTCTTTCTTCTCCTTCTCTCTCCTCTTCCTCCTCCTCATCCTCGCACGCCTCCTCGTCGTCCTCCACCCCCTCCCAGAAGCAAACAAACGGGCGTCGTTGGTGAACTACATAGCCTAGGGAAGTGTGCAAGCCTGATGTAAGTCTGTACATAGCATGGCGTAGCAGTAAGAAAGGACGCAACAAAATAGAAGCACGTCCCGCATGAACGGAACCAATACGCTGCTTCGTCCCCCAGAGTTGTGTTTGACTTGCCATACGCCGCCGGCGTCTGGCTCAAGCATCCGAGCGTGGAGGAAAAGAGCTCCCCAGTCTTTCCCTCCCATCTGCGATCACTCCCGCGAGTTTCATACTCGCGCATGGTAGCGGAGCTGGCGGTTTGAATCCGCGGCTCCACCTAGGCAGCGGGCAGCCCCGCGCCTGGGAAGGCCACTAGGCAGCGGTTAGCCCCGCGCCTGGTGAGGCCCCCGCGACCTGCGGCAACCCCGCGGTCTGCGGCAGCGCATGCCCAGCAAGCGCGGCGGGCGCTCCCTCGGTGCTCGAGAGCGTCGAGCTGGCCGCAACGATGGAAGAGTGGGCCCAGCGGCTGCAGGCCGTGGAGGCCAGGCAGCAGGAGCTGGTCCAGGAGCTCCAGCGGCAGCAGCAGCGCGGGCAGGCCGCGGCGCAGGGCCTGCAAGCAGCGCAGGCCGAGCTCGGACAGCTTCGGGCGGCGCCCCCCGTAGCGCCGCAGCGTGCGCTAGCGGAGCACCTTGGCGGCGCGACCGTGGACACACGGACGCCTGGGAAACCGTCGAGCTTCTCGGGCCGGCGCGAGGCGTGGAGGCAATTCCGCTTCGTCTTCGAAGGGTTCGCCTGCGCCGAGCACGCCAACATGGCGGAGCTTTTCCGCCGTGCGGAGGCGATGGACGGCCAGGTCGTGGACGCTCACGATCTGGACAAGGGCACGCTCACCCTGAGCCGCCAGCTGTACTACATGCTGGTGATGCTCACCACGGACGACGCCCAGCGCTTGATCGGCAACGTGGAGCAGGGCAACGGCGCGGAGGCCTGGAGGCGCCTTTGCTGGGAGTACGAGCCCGACGTGCGAGTTCGCCACGGGGCGGTCCTCCACGCCCTCCTGCGGAGGGAGTTCGGAAAGGACCCCAACAGCGACCTGGCGGTGGAGATCGAGAGCTTCGAGAGGGACGTGCGGCGCTACGAGGAAAAGAGCGGCAAGGTCTTGGACCAGGACGTGAAGATCTCCGTGCTCATCGGCGGGATGCTGAACGTGAAGGTCCGGGATCACCTCGAGCTCAACGCCGCGAGGTTGGACACGTACCAGCAGCTGCAAGCGGAGATCCTGAACTTCGACGTGGCAAGGCGGACGTGAACCCAGAACGTGGACGACCCCATGGTGATCGGTGCCGTGAAGGACGGCAAGGGCAAGACCTCCAAGGGCAAGGGGAAGGACTCCAAAGGGAAAGGAAAGGAGTCCAAGGGCAAAGCCAAGACCAAGGACACCTACAACCCCGCCTCCGGCAAGGATTGCCAGTACTGCGGGAAGTCCAACCACTTCAAGAACGAATGCAGGAAACTCAAGGCCGACATCAAGGCCGGGAGAGTGGACGCCAGCGGCAAGCCACTACCCGGAGCAGGAGCCCGCAGCGTGACAGAGGAGGCTCGAGGAGGAGCAGGAGCAGGAGGAGCAGCGACAGGGGCAGCAGGAAGCAGCGGTGCCAGCACACAGTTGGCCCTGCCCGCGCCGGGCGTACCAATGCCCATGAACGCGGCGTACCCGACGATCTTCCAGCCCATGTGGTACCCAGCTCAGGGGGGAGCGCCTCCAGCGCAGGGCATTCATTCCATTCACCCCCCAGGCGCCGTCGTCATGGGTCTGGGCCCCGTGCCGCCGGCTCTACCCGCACCGCCGGCAGGTCATCCTCAAGGCCACGGCGCAACGTACAGCTCCTCTCAAGACGAGCCGTGGACAATCCACTGACGATCCGCATGATACAGCCTGCTGGCATGATTGCTGCGGTTGGCAATGGTGGTGTCGAGCTCGCCCTGCTGAACTCTGGGTCGGGTGTCGTGGCATGCCCTGTAGACTATGCCCCGGATGTTCCCATGATGCCTCCTCGTAGGGATCTTCGTCCCATGGTGAATGCCACGAGTGAGCCCATCATCAACTACGGCACCAAGCACATCACGTACGTGCTGGACAACGGGGAGGAGCTGGCCATCACGTGGAACGTGACTAACGTGAACTGCCTGATCCTCTCGGCCTCCGCATTACGACGCGGAGGGGCGACTGCCCGGGTAGGCCACGAAGCGGCCGGCCTTGCGGGCCGCCCCGGCAGCGCGGAAGGCAGCCTCGTCTGGCCCCAGGGAACGGAGCGGCCCCCCCTGCTCAGACTTCTTGACCAACTCGCGGGGCTGGTCTGCTGGGTCCAACTCGCCTGTGAGTTCCTGGAGGAGTTTCGTATCCTGCTGGCTCGCCGCCGCCACGAGCTTCCCCGAGAAGAGGTTGTCCTGTCGGACCTGCGCCGCCGCCGGCGCTGCCCCCGCCCCCTCGTTCGGCGGTTCGAATGGGGGAGGCACAGCCCGGCGGGCACCCCCAGAAGCCCGGCGGGACGTCGCCAGGGTGACCGGCGCTGCCGCTGCCACTGCTGTTGGCGCTGCTGGACTGCCGCCCAGACAGCGCCGCCACGAGGTCGTGGAACACCGCCAGGTTGCGAAGGCCGAGGTCGCCAGGCAGGCCGCGCAGGAAGGTTCGAGCCCCCGTTGTGCGGACGTCCTTGACGAGCTCCCCGGCGTCGTTTTCCTCGTACTCGCACTTCTGAAATGCCGTTGTCAACCGCTTCCAGCGGCTCTCCTCTGCCAGCGCCTTGGCGGCGTCGCCCCGTACTGAAGCTTGGTTCGGAGGGCGTCGAGGTGCGCACGTCATCGTCGAGCCCCTCGCCTGCTGGGGCGGGCTCTGCCAAAGCCTGGCAAGCCCGGGCGACGGCAGGAGCACCTGGAGCAGGCCCACGGGGTGCATCCGACATGGAGGAGGCGTGAAACAAGGGTCGAGTGAGAGGAGGTACCGTGGACAGAAAATGTAAACTACAATGTGCAGAATTGGGACAAGCGGCCCCACCCTCGACACCCAAATGGCGGCATACATACTGCGTGGCGCACGCTCGCGCGCGCCCTGGAGCGAGGAGGGGGAGGTGAGCGTCTAACATCGCTTCACCTTCGTGAGTCCGAGTTTGTCTGTCCGCGGCGGCTCGGCTCCAGGCCGCGGCCGAGGGCAAACGAGGGCTCCTAACTTCGCGCTTCGCGCTGAGCGAAGCGTAAATAACTTCGAGCTCTCGCGCCGCCCCCCCCCAAAGAGAAAAAAGGAGGACGAGGAGGAGGGGGAGAAGGAACGAGGACCGGGAAGCGCGAAAAACTTCGCGCCCTCGAGGGCGCCCTTGGCAAAAGGGGGACGCGCCGGTGCCGCACCGGTGCCGCACACGAGCAGGGCGGGGCGCCCTGGAGGAGGGGGATGGGAGGGGGACGCGGGCGGCGGAGCACGCTCAGAGCACGGAGCTCTCGTGCGCCTGTGCACCACGGGCACACGTCGGTCGGAAGTGGTGGGTAGAACCACGAAGCAGGAGTGAAGGGGCCCTGGGACAAACGAGTAAATAGACACTGATAAAAGGATTCCCCATATTTCCCCACATTTTCTGGGTTCTCGTCTTCCCCCATATTTTCCCATATTTTCCCAGGGAGTCGACGATTAATTGTGCCTGTGTGTTTTTGTTCCCTCCTGAATGAAGCAGGAGGGCAGATCAGGTGGACTGGGTCCAGGCCCTCCCAGAGAGCAACAGAACACAGTACAGTCAAAACGTGTATCAAGGACGGGTGATAAGGACGCAAGAACCTTGGAGGCCGAAGTTGGGTCTCTTTAGGGCGGCGGGCGACCAGTGATAATGGCAAGGACGGGCCTCAGAGGCAAGGACCCAAGGGTACCCTAGATGAAGGCGCGCGTCCTTACTAGGCGCGTTGACTGTAAGAGCATACCGACTCGTGAGGCAGGGCGGCGCTCGAAGCAAGCTGGGATCTGGGAGTTCCAAAACACCTGTTTTCAACGACCGGCGTGTACAGTCGGACCCAGGCCAGAAGAACATCCCTCAAGAACACGAGACCCTCCGCTGGCCCAAACGAACAGAACATCTCAGGGTACACCCCCCAAGATGCACGAGAACGCCCGACAAGCGCGAAGAGCACCGGGGCACCCTCCCCGAGTCGACCTCGACCTCACACCTCGGTCCGTCTGTACACATCCTCCCAACGCTTCCCCCTGCTCCTCTCGGCTAGACGTAAGAGGGACCCTGGGCAAGAGTGACCCCTGGTTCGCAGCTTTTGGGGGCGCGAGGGGGCCAAACCCAGGGGCGCGGGCCGCCTATATCGCATCGCGCTCGGCGGTCGGGGGGAGCCCGATGAGCCCGCACCAAAGTCGGGGATCTTCTGACCCGGATCAATCCAAACCCGGGTCAGCCAGGCCTTGCAGAATCCTGCAAGATCCTGCAAGACCCTGCACCCAAACCCGGGTCAATGCGAAGGATCCTGCAAGATCCTGCAGGATCCTGCGCCCAAGCCCGGGTCAATGGGAGCCTGGCTCTGCAGGATCCTGCAAGATCTGGCGCTCTGGCTGACCCCCGTTTGCTTTGACCCCCATCTCAAGGCTCCCGACAAAGGCCACTCCAGCGAAGGTTCACTCTTAAGTGTAACCGACCCTCTCTGTTTTCTGAGCCCTCCGGCCGCCGGAGGCCCCGCCCGCCCGCGCCCTGTCTCCCCAATTAGGGCTACCCGCGTCCCGTTTAGCTCTTGACCGGAAGGGGCCCGCTCCCGACCCGCAGACCAAAAAGTGCAATCGACCCTCGCGCACGAGGCTAGCGTCGGGCGAAAGGGGGGGATCGCAAAGGGGGGGTTTGAGAATCAGCTCACGTAGCTGATTTTCCCGGCGCCTCCTGGCGCCGGAGGCGGCTATGTATCAAGGAATGGGGCCCTCGGTGAGGCCGAAACCAGCTGCATGCAGCAAATTTCGTAACCCCCCCTTTCCCAATCCCCCCCTTTCGTCCGGCCCGAACGAGGCTGGCCCCCCGACGCGCCACGGCGCCCCGGCCCAGCGGCGCGCGCGGCGTCGCCGGTATGTCGAGGTGCGACCGCAGCCTGCCCTCGGCCTGCCGAGGACGCCGGCCGGTGCCGAGGGCGGGGCGGACGACGACGACGACGACGAGGACGAGGACGACGAGGACGAGGACGAGGACCAGGACGAGGACCAGGACGACGAGGACGAGGACGAGGACGAGGACGAGGATGACGGACGACGGGATGTGACGGACGACGGACGACGGGATGTGACGGACGACGACGGACGACGACGGAGGACGACTGACGACGACGGACGGCGACGGACGACGACGGACGGCGACGGCCGACGACGGCCGCCGAAAACGCCGACGGCCACGACCACTGCTGGCCTGCCACGGCCTGTACGGCCCGGCCAGCCTGCCGCCAGCCGCGGCCTTCTGGTGTGATGAAAGTTAGGGGGCCAAACGGACTTACACCATCCCTGGGTGCGTGGGTCAGGTGGGATTCCGCGGCCCCGATCATGCTTGTTTGTTGTTGGCCGAACTCTCACTTCAAAGAAGAAATTGTTCTTGATGCCGCCCGTTCTGTGCTCTTTCTGTGGTTTTTCAGTTGACAGGCCCCTCCTGGGGCCTGCACCCTGTTTCGTACAATGGAAAACCATGAGCCTCAGACTGTGCCCCTGGCCCCCAGTTTACAACAACAACGAAAACCATTTTACCATCATGCGCGAAATTCCCACACGAAGCATGCGACCATCATGATAACCATCCCCATCATGGGGGATTGTTCTATAGCGGGGTCCGTTATTCCCATTCCCAAATATCCCGCCCAATGAGGCCTTGCAAACACCTCCTCCGAGGACTTTCAAAATATCCGCCTCGAAAACGCATGCCCGCGTCTTGCTGCACCGATGCGAGACCTCCAGTGGTCGGCGCGACTCCTGAATAAATTGTAAGGAAGTCCAAAGCTAAAGCGCGATTCCTGAATAGAATGCGAGGACGTCTCAGGCGGGAGCGGGGGTCCTGGCTAAATTGTGAGGAAGTCTCAGGCGGGAGCCGTTGTTGTTGTTGTTGTTGTAACCCAGGGGCCACAGTTTGAGCCTCAAGACTGTCCCTGATAAAAAACCGAGTGCGAGCGCCGGGAAGGGCACTTCAATTGAAAACATATAGTGTGCACCGGAGGGGGGGATCAACAATACTTATTCTTCAGTAGTGAGAGTTCAACGGCAACTAATACTACAACGACAACACCACCAACAACACCAACCACAACCAAAACCACAGCCACAACCACATCAAAACCAACGACACAAACCAACAGCAGCAACAGCAGCAGCACCAGCAACAGCAATAGCAACATCAACAGCAGCAACAACAGCAGTCATCATTTTGAGACTGTTGGCTCTTGCCTGCTCACGCGCCATTCGACACACGAATCCCAAATCCTCGGTACCCACCATCTTCATATTCCATCGTACCCCTTTGGGGGGTACATCTTCCCTACCTCGACTCACCGGCCCCTCCTCATCGACCTCTTCTTCTTCTCGATCTGCGTGGCCTGCCCCCCCCCCCAACCCTAGCCATCGCTCGGACGTCCATTCCCTGTGTTTTTGTTCGGTTTCGTGCGTGTTTTTTGTGCTCGGTGGTCCAGGATGGTCCTCGATGGTTCTCGCCGAGAAAAAACGCACACGTCCGAGCGATGCTAAGCTTCTTCTCGATCTGCGTGGCCTGCCCCCCCCCAACCCGCCCATCCATCTGCCCACCGCCCTCGGCCAGGCTCCATCAATCGACCCTCTCTCCCCCCCTCCTCCCCCCCTCCCTCCCTCAAGTTCGACGGCGACGACGACCCCCCTCCCTCTTCGCCCTCGCCATTCCCATCGTTCGACGACGACGACCTCCCTCCCTCCCATCAGTCGGCCCCTAGACCCAACGAGGCTGCCGCGCGTAGCTGGCGCAGCCCCCATAACAGGGGATGGAGGGGAGGAGTGAATAGACATGGGGGAAAGAGGATGGAGCACGAGAGGAATTTGCAGGAGGAGGGTTCGGAGCAGGAACACAAACGGCAGAACCAGACGGGCGTGTCGGGCGGGCGGTTCCTAACGGGCAGGTCGTGCGGGCGGGCCCAGACGGCCAGGTCGAGCGGGCGGGTCGCTAAAACGTCATCATGAAGGAAGATTCGAGCGATACCGCGATTCCCAAGTAAATCGTAAGGAAACTCAGAACGAGAGCGTGATTCCTGAGTTTACGGGGCACGGCGCCGCAGTAAATTCTGAGAAAATACAACGCGGGAGCGCGATTCTTGAACATGTAATGAAGAAATCCCGCGCGAGAGCGCGAAATTGAAACACACTGTGGGAACATCTCAGGCGGGAGCCACTGTTGTTGTCAACCGCAGGCCAGGGGCGCATCTTGATAACCACATATTTTCTCTGATATGAAACAAGGTTCGAGCCCCGGGAGAAACACTCTCATTGAAAGCATCCATAGTCACCGGAGGGAAATCAACAGTTATTATTCTATAAAGTGAAAATGAGAATGCAACAACAGCAGCAACAGCAATAATGAGTTCAGACTGTTCGCTACTATCTGCTCGCGTGCCACTCAACACGTATATCCGAAACTCTGAGTACCTGCCATCTTCGTCTTCGATCGCTCCCCCTTGGGGGTATGTCTTCTTTACATGCCACGTGCATTTAGCGCAGCCCTTAAGACAGCGGAAGGGAGAACAAATGGAAGGGGCAGGGAGAATAATGGAACACGAAAGAAA